AATACCCCATCCCTGTGTTGGGCAGGTATATGTATTGCCTGAGGGAAGGAACAGGATGAAGTCATTGATTATGTGACTGATGTGAACGCTACAATTGCTGTACATACTTATCTACTTCAACACCGCAAAAACAGAGAGCTTAGCAGAAAGTAGCCTTGTTGGCAGACACTTTTGATGCACCAGCAGTTACAGATTTCCCACACAGGCAAGTAATTAGGGTGAGGAAGACAGCATCACAGGAAAGTGGTTTTATATGCTACAGATTAAGACTCTGACTGAAAGGTTTAGTTGATAGGAATATGTCTGTGTGGGGCGGGGGGAAAGGAACGCAGGTGACAGCACTGAGAAAGTTCTCTCAGTTTCAAAGTATAACCCAAAAGCAGTGTTCGATCACAGCCTACCTGTGCTGGCTGCCCCTGTCAGCCGTGGTGTAGATATACCCTCACTTTGTACAGATGACAGACCAGGAGTAAAATTTTCAAGAGAACCTAAGTCATTTAGGAACCTAAGCCCCATTCTCCAAAGCGGTAACTACAGCCCTTTGTGTTTTATACATGCCTGAGTAGTTATCAGTGGTTCATAGTCATGCTGGAAGGGCCTCAGTTCTGGGTCCAGTTCTGTTCAATATCTTCATCAATGATTTAGATAATGGCATAGAGAGAACACTTATAAGGTTGGCAGATGATACCACGCTGGGCGGGGTTGCAAGTGCTTTGGAGGATAGGATTAAAATTTGAAATGATCTGGACAAACTGGAGAAATGGTCTGAAGTAAATAGGATGAAATTTAATAAGGACAAATGCAAAGTTAGGAAGGAACAATCCGTTGTACACATACAAAATGGGAAATGACTGCCTAGGAAGGAGTACTGCAGAAAGGGATCTGGGGATCATAGTGGACCACAAGCTAAATATGAGTCAACAGTGTAACACTGTTGCAAAAAAAAACAAACATCATTCTGAGATGTATTAGGAGGAGTGTTGTAAGCAAGACAAGAAGTAATTCTACTCCATGCTGATTAGGCCTCAACTGGAGTATTGTGTCCTGTTCTGGGCACCACATTTCAGGAAAGATGTGGACAAATTGGAGAACGTCTAGAGAAGATCAACAAAAATGATTAAATGTCTAGAAAACATGACCTATAAGGGAAGATTGAAAAAATTAGGTTTGTTTAGTCTGGGAAAGAGAAGAGTGAGAGGAGACATGGTAACAGTTTTCAAGTACGTAAAAAGTTGTTACAAGAAGGAGGGAGAAGAATTGCTCTTCTTAACCTCTGAGGATAGGGCAAGAAGCAATGGGCTTATTGCAGCGAGGCAGGTTTAGGTTGGACATTAGGAAAAAATTCCTATCAGAGTGGTGAAGCACTGGAATAAATTGCCTACAGAGGTTGTGGAATCTCCATCACTGGAGATTTTTAAGAGCAGGTTAGACAAATACAGTACCTGTCATGAATGGTCTAGATAATACTTAGTCCTGCCATGAGTGCAGGGGACTGGACTAGATGACCTCTCAAGGTCTCTTTCAGTAGAACCTGGGAATGAGCGACAGGGAAAGGATCACTTGATGATTACCTGTTCTGTTCATTCCCTCTGGGGCACCTGGCATTGACCACTGTCGGAAGACAGGATACTGGGCTGGAAGGACCTTTGGTCTGACCCAGTATGGCTGTTCTTATGACTCAGGAACTTTGGAACCTGAATCACACAGACAAACTCCTAAGGACCTCAGTAACTTATGAAAAAAGCACTTAGGCTCCTTAGAGGCATGTGGTGGGGTGTGTATAAACTGTGATAACAGGATCCAAAGGAAGAAATATCAGGATGCACAGCAGGACTGGTTCTGTCAGGCTCTGAAACATGTGGGAATGAGGGCCATGGGAGTCTCTCCTTAGACTTTTGTGATGCTGAGTCAGGAAGCTGAGCAGTACATGACCTGAGGGAGACGGACGAGACCTCCACCATGACTGCTCCACTACCACCAAGCCAGTCAAGACTTTTTAGAGCTGTTTAAGGGCTTATAAATGTGCTGGGACTCCCAGTATGATACTTTATGTTGGATTGGGAGGGCAGAGTCATTTCCTCTCTTGCTTTCTGTCTGCCAAGCTAAAGATTGGCTACACTACACATGGCACCTCCAGGGCCTTTCAGCAACCATTGCCTGGATGCTGCTACAGCTGCGGCCCTCTTTATTTTTCCCTGATGGATTACACCGATTGTACCTAATAATGCAGCTTAGAATTCAGTTAATTGGCCAGCCCAGTTTGAAACTGTTCCAAATGTTTACACGGCTCTATTTTACATTTTCTGTTCATGTGTGGAAGTTTTTCAGCTGCAGTGTTCTTTTGTGCTGGGAAATCTCAAGATGTTTTCCACTGTAGCAGTTTCTCTCTCAGACCACTTGGAAACTACCCATTTGCATAATGGCATAATGTGTGTGTTAGAACATCTGGCCAATCTTTAGCTTGGCAGACTAAGAAGGTTACCAGAGATCACTCACAAACCAGGTCACTGCTACAGCACACCTGCTAGCCAGCTGCAGCTTCTCTTTCTGAGTTGTCGCACACAGAACACATCTCCTGAGTGCAAAGGGAAATCTCTCCCACACTCAGTCAACCACAAAATCAATATATATATAAAAAAAACTCAAACACATACTGAATTCCACTCCCACATATCCCTGAAATTCATTTATTTTGACTCATTATTTTAATCTTATGCTTGAAGAGTAAATGGCAGGATGTTGAGGTGGAAGTTAAAGCCAGAGATGCCTGTAGCACGAAGCATTTTCCAGTGCTTTCTCCACAGACAGCACCTTTTGCCTGAACCCAGAGCTATGGTGTACCAATATTTCATTGTTTCTGTAGCCCACTCCTCAGTGTATTATGCTGTGCCTGATCCAGGAGGCTATGCCTCTGCTGTGGCTCCCAGATAAGGGATTTAGCTTTGACTCTAGAGTAGTGGTCTCCAAACTTTTTACGCCCAAGATCACTTTTTTAATCTAAGGGCAACCTAGGATCTACCCCGCCCCTTCCCTGAGGCCCTGCCGCTTCCCCAAAGCCCCACCCCACTCACTCCATCCTCGCCTCTCCCCCACCCTCACTTTCACCAGGCTGGGACAGGGGGTTGGGGTTCGGGAGGGGATGCGGGCTCTGGGGTGGGGCCGAAGGGTTCACAGTGGGGGTGGGGGCTCTGGGCTGAGCCTGGGGCAGAGGGTTGGGGTGCAGGATGGGGTACAGGGTGCTGTCTCTGGGCTGGGGAAGGGGGTTGGGGTGCTTGCTCTGGGAGGGGGGTCTCAGGGCTGGGGGTTGGGGTGCAGGCTCCCACCAGGCAGCACTTACCTCTGGTGGCTCCCGGTCAGCGGCGGACACAGCGAGGCTAAGGCAGGCTCCCTGCCTACTCCAGCCCCACACCACTCCCAGAAGGAGCCAATGAGCCCCTGCGGCCCCTGAGGGGGAACGGGGGGCACGTGGATGTGTGCACTGCCTCTTTCTGCAAGCACCACCCCCGCTGCTCTCCTAGCCAATGGGAGCTGCAGGGGCGGTGCTTGCAGGCAGGACCAGCGCATGGAGGGAGACCCCTGACCTCCCTTCCCCAGGAGTGGCATGGGGCCAGGGTTAGCAGGGAGTCTGCCTTAGCGGCAGCCACACTACACCACTGGAGATCGCGATCAACCAGTTGGTGACCACTGCTCTAGAGGCTCAAGCTTTCGCTGTGAAGTTTCCCAGGTTCAATCCTCAGGGATGGCCAGCACAGCAGCTGTTACACTTCCAATGCAGACACATGAGTATTCAAAAGAAAACCAAACTTATTTTTTAAAATTACAAAATAATATTCTAAACATCCATGCAGTACCAATCAGCAAACTAAAACACTGACCCATCAGATGGATCTTGCAGAAGAAACAGTCCTGAAATGGTCCATCTAAGCTTCTTCTTAAGGAAAAGAGGAGGTACAGGGCCTAGGTTCAAAGCAAAAAGCACAAAACAGAACAAATACCGACTGAATAGGTTACATTCTTTGTAGTATGTCCACACAGGGATTAAAAAACGCAGCTGGCCTGGGTCAGCTGACTTGGGCTCGCAGGGCTTGGGCTTCAAGACTGAACCATTGCTGTGTAGACATTCAGGCTTGGGCTGGACCCTCTCAGGTTCCCCAAACATTTACACAGTGATTCTTCAACTCTGGAGCCCGAGCCCTGCGAGCCAGTCAGCTGAACCAGACAAGCCATGGCCAGGCTGCAGGTCTTTTGTCCCTGTTTAGACGTACCTTAAGGCTCTCGTATCAGAATACCCTGATGTAGGCCTGCAGCAATGTGTCTATCATCACCACTAAAATATCCTTCTAACTCCTGGGGCCAAACAGAGATCTTGGTATAAGCAGATGCTTGTACAGAAAGAGAAGGGATGGTACGGTAATTAGGATGCTAGCCTAGGACTTGGGAAAACAAGTTCATTTCCATGCTCTGTGTCAGATTTCCTGTGTGACCTTGGGTAAGTCACTTCGTCTCTCTAGATCTCATTCACCATCTGTAAAATGAGGTGTAACCAAGCCTGTGTGAGTCACAATGGAGAATACCAAATTCAGGACAAACTGCTGAGAAATAGGGCAGCTAAACCCCAAAAACTGGAGGTTATTCTCCCATGAGATATACCAAACTAGCAACAAAAGTAAACTCCTGTTTCACCACACTGGCTAACAAGAAGTCATAAAAGTGCTTTCCTGTGGCATTCCAGCCCTTATATTATCACCGAAAACACTAGACTTAGAGATGTGTGGTTCTTTAAAACCAATCTCTTCAAATAAAAGGTTCTTCTGATCCCAAAAGACCAGCCACACCCAGGTCAATATATAACTCAGAACTTACCCAAAAATCATGCTGATACCAATCCTTTAGTATCTAAAATATAAAGGTTTATTTATAGAAAGAAAGAAAGAAAGAAAGAAAGAAAGAAAGAAAGAAAGAAAGAAAGAAAGAAAGAAAGAAAGAAAGAAAGAAAGAAAGAAAGAAAGAAGAGTTAAAACTGGTTAAAAGAATCAAATACATAAAATAAATGCAAAATTCTTGGTTCAGGCTTGTAGCAGTGATGGAATAAACTGCTGGCTTATGTCAAATCTCTGACTGCTTCCAAATCATTGGAAGGACCTCAGTACCTTTGGTTAGAATGCTCCCATTATTATAATCCATAGTCCAGAGGTTTGAACAGGAAAGAGGCTGGGGCAGAAAGGAGGCAAAATGGAGGTGTTTCCAGGGCCTTTTATACCTTCTGCCATGTGGCGGGAATCCCGTTGTTCTTACTGTGGAAGAGATGGTGGTTGGAGTCACATGGACAAGTCACATGTCCATGCATGATTTCACCTAGTCACAGCAGGAAATTCCATTAGGTGGACATAGGCATCTCCCATGGTCCATTGTCAGTTAAATGTTCTTTTGATGGGCCACTGAATTTGAATAGTCCCTCCAAGATGTGCTGGCTAGCTGCCTTGTGGGTGTTACCCCAGGAGCAAACATTTGAAATCCAGGTATAGAGCCAATACTCATAACTTCAAATTCAAAAATGATACCTGTGTACAAATAGCAAAATCATATTCAGCAAATCATAACCTTTCCACAGACACCTTACTTGACAACCTTTGTTCAAGATTTGTTGCAAATATATAACAGTGGTTTCAACAATGATCTATATGGTCATATTTTAATCAGATAATGTCACATGGGGATAATATCATTTCCTTATCTCACAGTGGTGCTGTGAAGTTAAATACATTAAAAGATTGTGAGGTGCTCAGATGCTATAGAGGGCATATGAGTACCTAAGGGAGGATAGACACAGTGTTTCCTCCCATTTAACTGTGATAAATTTTATTTTTCTGTGTTTTATATACAGAAATTCTAGACTTATTTCTATTAGGGAAGCTCAGAAGTCCTAGCATTTGGGAATCAGGAAATTCTGGTTTCCAAACTAGTGACATTTGGGAAATTTTTAAATTCAAGTTTGGAAAAAGGCAGGGCATTGAACACAATGAAATGCAGATAACACTTACTTTACATTCAACATTCTGTATGAACATTAACTAATCAATCATATAATTAATCAGTCATGCAAATACAATGCAAAGCTGTGTATAATTTGAGGAACCTCTAGTGAGCTGGAGAGTAAGAAAAATGACACAGTCACAGTCAGGTACTTCAGGCTACTTACACCTTTATCCTGAAATTGGTCCTTCAGGCTCCACATGAGCCCTTGGGTTTGCACAGATCCAGTTAAGAGAATGAAGGCTATTACTTCACTGCCTTGCAGACTGTTTTTGTTTTAATACCCGTATTAAAGGGCATCAGCAGGGTCCGTTGGACAGAGCATCAGTCCGAGTCCAGAAACCTGGGTGTGATTCCTGGTGTTGCTCTTGACTTCTTGTGTGACATTAGGCAAATCATTTAGCATCTGTGTCATCTGTGAAATGCATAAATGTAATTAGCCCACTCTTCATAAAGCACTTTGAGATCTGCAGATGAAGTGTGCCGTACATACTAAACGTTATTGTCAAGGTTCCTCCCTGACTCTGAACTCTAGGGTACAGATGTGGGGACCTGAATGAAAACCTCCTAAGCTTACTTTTACCAGCTTAGGTTAAAACTTCCCCAAGGTACAAATTAATTTTATCTTTTGTCCTTGGAATAACCACTGCCACCACCAAACTCTAACTGGGTTTACTGGGAAACGTAGTTTGGACACGTCTTTCCCCCCAAAATCCTCCCAACCCTTGCACCCCACTTCCTGGGAAAGGTTTGGTAAAAATCCTCACCAATTTGCATAGGTGACCACAGACCCAAACCCTTGGATCTGAGAACAATGAAAAAGCATTCAGTTTTCTTACAAGAAAACTTTTAATAGAAATAGAAGTAAATAGGAGTAAAGGAATCACCCCTGTAAAATCAGGATGGTAGGTACCTTACAGGGTAATTAGATTCAAAACATAGAGAATCCCTCTAGGCAAAACCTTAAGTTACAAAAAAGACACACAGACAGAAATAGTCATTCTATTCAGAACAATTCTTTTCTCAGCCATTTAAAGAAATCATAATCTAACGCATACCTAGCTAGATTACTTACTAAAAGTTCTAAGACTCCATTCCTGTTCTATCCCCGGCAAAGCAGCATACCGACAGAGAGGCACCGACCCTTTGGTTCTCTCCCTCCTCCCAGCTTTTGAAAGTATCTTGTCTCCTCATTGGTCATTTTGGTCAGGTGCCAGCGAGGTTACCTTTAGCTTCTTAACCCTTTACAGGTGAGAGGATTTTTCCTCTGGCCAGGAGGGATTTTAAAGGGGTTCACCCTTCCCTTTATATTTATGACAGTTATATCTGGAAATCCTGTTTGAGTAAAAATTCTGAGTAACTGCAAAAAGGGAGAAACTCTAGGACTCCAAGCAAACAGAGGACAACTGGAACTTACCTCTTGAGAAGGTTTCCAGCAAATGCAGAGGATCAATTCTGCAACCTTTCTTCAGCCAGCATTGGTTGCCCCACAGGTGTGTTGGAATGTGGACTCCAAAGGGGAACACAAGAGCTGGACTGAGCAGGATCAGTGTTTAATTGCACTTGACTTGGTAATTCCATGAAAAATCTAGACAAAAAGCCAAAGTTGACTGATTTCAAAATATTTTAAGCAGCAAAACTCCTTAGTTCTAGACAGCTTAGAAATTCATTGGGGCATTATTTGAGCAAAACAAGATATCAGTGCAGTTTGCAAGCTGGGACAACTTAATTGACAGGTGATAATGTTGCTTTTTGGAAAAAGCAAGAGAATATAGAAAATGTTGTGAAATTCTGTAACTATACTGGGTGACAAGAAATCATATAAAGACACTGTGAGAGTTATGGGAATTTGAGAGAACAGTTTACTTTTTTGTAAGGCCTTTTAACTGTGGCTGGGGGGAAACAAAACATCCCTAAAACGGATTTGGTAGCTATAGGTGCTACAAGCCAGACACAGCTCTGGTATTATCAACTCTAAGCCATAGCAGAAGAACGTCATGAAGATCAATGGACTTAAAGATACGTTACTCAGGCTGAGTTACTAGTATCAGCATAAAGAAAAGGAGTACTTGTGGCACCTTAGAGACTAACCAACAAGACTTCTTTTCTTTTTGCGAATACAGACTAACACGGCTGTTACTCTGAAATAGTATCAGCATGTTGTTTTCATAAATTACATTGCACAAACAACTCATCCCAACATTAAGTTTTAGCTTTGAGCTGCTAATTTAAAAAAAAAAAATTTCCATCCCACTCCATTGGTGAATTCCAATGTTTCAAAATTTATTTTCATCATCAGGATGGAAAGTTCCACATTTTTTTGTCTTGGTAATGTTGAAATTGTGGGGTTTTTTTTTTGCTTGATTCAGCATTTATCTGTATCTCCCTGAGGTGCCATGGTAAGCCCTCTGTAATCAAGTGCCTGGGATAGACCACACAGATAATGCCACATTCAGGGCAGATTGCAAGAAACAGGGCAGACAATCCCCAGAGCTGGTGGTTTACTTTATACTTAGATTCACCAAATCAGTAACAAAAGAGCCTGTGCAGTACCACACTAGTTAACCGGAAGCCAAACACAGACCCCTTTAGTCATTTCAGCCCTTGGCTCCATCCAGCCAATCCAATCTAGTATAGTGAGAGGTTATTGAAAACCTATTTCATCTAATGTGAGGTTCTTTCTAATACCAAAGGATCAGACAGATATCCTCAGGTCAATATGAATCTCAGGTCTTACTCAAATATCACTCTGTCAGCCAATCTGTAGTAAATAACTAAACATTTATTATTAAAAGAAAAGAAGAGAGTTATAAATGGTTAATAGATCATATGCATACAAATGATTGCAAAGTCCTTATGTCAGGTTTGTAGCAGTGATGGGTAGACTGCTGGCTTGTAAAGTCTCTTTGGTAACTCCCCAAAGATTGGAAGGTCCTCGGTCCATAGTTCAAGATGCTCCTTTTAGCTTTAAATCCACAGTCCAGAGAATTAGAGTAGGAAAGAGGCAACAAGGAGATGTTTCAGGTGTCTCTTTATACCCTCTGCCATGTGCATGGAAATTTACTATCCCAAACAAAGCTCAAGTTACTGACCCAAGATGGAGTCTAGGGTCACATGAGCATATCACATGCCCTTACATGTTTTGCTGAATCACAGGGGGTGACCATTGGCTCCTGGCTGTCTGAGGCAGCCTCAGGAAGAGCTATCTGGACCGGATGAGTTTCTTCAATGGCCCATTGTGTGAGTGGAGTGCCCTTGAGAGGCCATCAACACGTAGCTGTCTAGCCTTAATGTAAATTTTATCGGAGGGGATGTCACCCAGGAACAAACATGTTGAAGATACAAGTACCTAGCCAATATTCATAACTTCACATACAAAGATGATATGTTGATTTAACCAGGATAATCTTACTTGGTTGATTGTAACCTTTCCATCCACACCTTACCGTGATACACTTTGTACAAGATTTATGGTAATTGTATAATGGTGACAATGATATAAATGGTTATCTTTACTCATACAGCATCACACCCTCATTCTCCTATAAGGGCCAGGCTCCCTGGTTGGACTACATCTCTTTTATATCATGGTGGTTCAACTAGAAGGGAGATTGTGGTGCATCCTGGGAGATGTAGTCCATGCAGGGAACTTGCCCATAAAGGAGAAAACGGAATGAGGCACCCAAACTGTGTCTCCCTTTAAGCAGCACAACTGTTCAGGAAGACACAGATTATGGCTAAACTGATCCAAAACAAAATGTTGTAATTCAGGTCAACCCAACTGAAATGAAATATTTTGTTTTGATTTTACTGATGGAAAATTTATGTTTTTATTTTTGCAAAAATCTCAATTTTTCAGTAGAAATTATTGATTTTATAGAAACTGCATTTTCCAACAAAATGCATTTCAGCAGTAAATTCCTGACAAATTCTGCTGCTTTTTTTTTTATGTTATTCCTGTATGTATCAGCCTTGGTTTCAGGATATAGGCCATATATTCTCTTGGGCCCAGACCAACATACAGAAAACATAAAATCCAATTTTTCTCCAACTTTACTAATATTTCTATTGAATTCTGAGCTTACAGGCCTGCCACTACTGAACTGATCCAGGGCCTCTGCTAATGTGCCCATAAGAATAGAGTTAGGTATCAGATGAACAAGTTACTGCATATTTGTAAGCCAAGAATGACTATGTCATCTGTAAACATTATATGCCCCAGTTAAATTAAACCAGCTAAGTATTTATAACTTTTAAAAAGATAAATATTTAGTTTAGTATTTTATCTGTTTTGGTGGCTGTTCATGTGGCAGGGAATGGGAATGTTTCAAACTAGAATGTAGAAGAGCATTAAGGTCCTCTGCTGTTTGCTCTTTGAGACTGTTGGATTAAGAGGATTAAAAAAAAACCCCACCTGAATACCATATTTCTTCCAATTATTTTGTAACAGAGGCCTTTAATCCCTTGTTTGCACCTTTCTACGTAGATTTAAATATACAAATATATAGAAAAATCAATGCCTATTTAGTGTGTTGTGTTTTACTCTTATAGTTGTATTTCATTGTTAGAATTAGAATAAAATAGATAGTGAAATTGTAAATGGATCTACTATAACTCACAGGACATATCTGTATGAAGGATTTCTGTTTCCACACAATAGAGTATTGATTAGAAGTTGCATTTACATGACAAAACCTTGTGCAGATGTCAGCTCATAACACTGAGGCCATTCAGCCTCCTCTAGCTCTAACCGGGCACTGACAGCAGTGCCGTCAGCATGCCTATGACCCAACAGGCAGAGTTACCTCACCACTTGCCTTGACTTACTGAGGCCTACGCTCAGTTTCTCTGAAAACACTAGCCAGTAACTAAGGTCAGATACCAAACGCCAGGTTCTCAGTCCAATCTCAGTGAAAAGAAAGAAGTGACTATTGCCAATTTTGTAGAAATAAAGTGTACAGTCAGGTAGTTAAACACCCCCTTTAGGGTCTTGAGAATACCACTGCAGAAAGCATCACTACGTGCTGGTGATTCATTAGCAAGATGTAAGGCAGCGGGCAAACAGAGCTGAAGGAAACAGAACTTGATTCAACATGCTGAGACTCTAGTGTTTGTACAGTGATGGCCTGGCCCCAGTTTACGTCCCTCAGCCTGTGGAGCCGTACCAAACTCGGGCCTTCCCTGAAACCTGACCCTCTTTCTCCATTTCCAAGCGTCATATTACAGCTAACAGCTTGAAGTTACAGACTGATACAAGGTTACTTAGATGTACAAACTGGCAGAGCTTTGGCTGGTTTCTCTGCCTCCAGTCAGAGCAGGGTGACCAGTCCCTTTCAAACAACTAGTGCAGTCCCCACTCTTTGCTTATGTAACCCTTCTGCCAGGTGGAGCCGGCAGCAACCAGGGCCAAGTCCAATATCTAGGGGTTCCTTTCCAACCATACAACACAGAACCGGCTTGAGCCCCCACCCAGTAGCCTGGGAAATCTACACACACTCCTGGGTGCCTCTGAGAGGCAATACTTCCCCACTCACAAGCACAGGGTCTGAGTGTAGAAAAGAAACTTTTAAGGAAAGGAGGAATATCACAAAACATTACTTAGGGAAAATGTCACAAGCAGGATTCATAATCATAAAACTATGAACAGGACACCCACCCCAGTGTGTGTGGGGCAGTGCCCTCTGCCTCATGTTCCTGAGTTCCTCAAACAGCTCCTTTTCTGTGCCCTTCTCTGCTTCCTCACCATACAGCGGTTGTCCTTGGTCTGTTAGGACCCAGGGTTCAGAGTTGCATCTGTGTGAGTTCACCTCCCACCCGGGGAAGGAGGCTTGCTCTGCTATCTGCACACTTGCTCTGGCTGGCCGCCCTGCCAGCCGTGGTTTCTCTCCACTGGCTGCCCCGCCAGCCGCTCGTTCTGCTCACCACCTCACCAGCTGCTCGTTTGCCGGACTGTCAGTCATGTTCTCCTGCCACCTGCCTCTCTGCGGTGGACTCTGCACATCAGTCTCTTAGTGATTTTCAGCTTTTTGCAGACTCAGCAGAAACACTGCCCAACACAAATAGTTTCAGTTCTCATTTGAGCACTTTAACATAGTAAACGGCTCCCAATGAAGCCTATTTAGCTCTGTCTTTGAACAGTGTGGAGGAACAGACCAGGGACCACTAGGGAGAGTCCACACCTCCTGGCTGGGACACCTGTCCCCATCCCTCTTACTTTCACAGGGGTCTGGCATTCAAGCCCCTGACTTAGTGAGTTCCTTTCAGCTGAGGGTGACCCCCTCAACTGGGACAAGCTCAGCACAGTTCTGCTGACCTTTAGTCATAAAATGAAGATAACATTTCACTACCCCTGTGTTCAATATTAAAAAAATTATATAATGCACAGGTTTAAGAAAAGAGTGTCTGTACATCTGGGTATAGTCCTTAGATTATCCACAAATACAAAGTTTGTCTTTAAAGTCATAAGATACATATAGTGAATAATCAGCAATAATTAAAGTGATTTGTAACCCAACACCAGCCAAAGCTGATTACTTGGAGCTACACAACTCCTGTCTGCTTGATACCTATGCAGAGTAGGTATG